TTCTCTCTGTCTCAAATGAATAAATAAAATCTTTAAAAAAATAAGAAAAGGGGCGCCTGGGTGGCTCAGTTGGTTAAGCGACTGCCTTCGGCTCAGGTCGTGATCCTGGAGTCCCGGGATCGAGTCCCGCAGCGGGCTCCCTGCTCGGCGGGGAGTCTGCTTCTCCCTCTGACCCTCCCAACCCTCCCCCCTCTCATGTGCTCTCTCTCCCTCATTCTCTTTCTCTCTCAAATAAGTAAATAAAATCTTAAAAAAGAATTGTAAGAAGACCCTTGTTAGTAATTTTAATGCTTTGAAAGATCTAGTTTGTTAGACGTACCAGGAATTATTCTGGCTAATGCAGCTTTGATTTCTAAGAGTTCCCAAAGTAAGTCATTGCTCTGCATATTAAAGAATATCAGGAACCATAGTGTCTTTTTATACCTTGACAAACATTTTTTAAGTCAACATAATTTTCCCAATTCTGAAACTTAAAGACCATTGACTTGTTCATATGGAAAAGTATAGTCTGTTTGAAACCAGGAGTTTCTAACAGTTGGTGGTTGTCCAGTAATGAGCCTGGGGGGAGGAACTTGGTGTCTTTTTAAAAATGAGGGTAAATGTGGCAAAAGTATCAGCGTTTAGTTCTTTTAATTCTGTTTAGGAACTTTATTCCTGGTGAGAGTCCTAATTAAGCATGTTGATAGTGGGGTAATTAAATACAGGTGGCCATAACATACCCAGAGTATGATAGTCTTACAGGAAAAGTAAAATTTTGTTCAGACACAGGAGGGGTGAGTACTTGGGGTGGGGAGAAATAAAAAAAAGAATGTTGGATTTTCGTAAAAACAGAGATCAGAGACTGTTTTCTTCTAAGACTGAAATGTGCAGTTTTGTCTTTTGCACACATTAATAGGCAACACTAATCACTATCTGTGCCACAACTTTAGTTCCTATGACAGATCACGATGGGAAGTCACCCACCTCTTGTTAGTGGCAGCCGTGGTGATAACACCCAGCTCTCTCTTCCTCTCACTACTTACCCCTCTAATCTTTTTGAAAATCTTCTTGGCACCAAATTCTGAAGTTTCAGATGTGACCTGCAGGCTCTACAAATAAAGTTATCCTGTTAGAGGGGCGCCTGGGTGGCTTAGTCGTTAAGCATCTGCCTTCGGCTCAGGTCATGATCCCAGGGTCCTGGGATCGAGTCCCGCATCGGGCTCCCTGCTCGACAGGAAGCCTGCTTCTCCCCTCCCACTCCCTCTGCTCGTGTTCCCTCTCTTGCTGTGTCTCTCTCTCTGTCAAATAAATAAATAAAAATCTTAAAAAAAAAATTATCCTGTTAGAGCCCTGTTCAGTGAGTGCAGAGGCTGTCCTTAGATGAGGCGTGCTGGCGTCTGGGGATAGCATGTGGTCATTAAAAATAGTCTTATGAGTAGACATGTATGTACTTTAATTAAATCAAGGGCTATGAAATGGAGGACTCAAATATTGAAAGATCATTGGATTAAAAAACTCTACTGCTGCCAAATTAGTACCAACAACATACAATGTATTATGTTAGTATGTTGTTTTCCTGCTCAGAAAAAAATTTTTCTATTAGGTTTATATTTGTGTTATGAGTCCTTTACAAAGTAATTTTTTTTTAAATAACCATGCCAGAAATATGAAGGTGATTGCTTTTAAGTAAGTGTTATTTGGGGAACAGCTTAGAACCATGAGCTGTTTTGTTTTGTTTTATTTTGTTTTGTTTTGTAGAAGTGTTGTTTAACTTTCCTCTTACAGTGAAATTTTTAGTTACTTCCATTTTTTTAAACCTTGACCAGGTGACCAGTGTTCACCCAGAATGTCGATTTCATCTGGAAATACAGGAGGAAGAGACAAAATGTGCAGAGCTTCTAAGGACTCAAACAGAAAAATACAAAGGTAAGGTAGCGGCTTGGTGAGTACAGCGGTTTCAGTTGGATAAGCTGACAGGCAAATAGCTCACGCCTCACTCTAAAAATTGAGTTTTAAGGTAACCTGCATTTTCAAAAAAAAAGCCTGTTTCCACTGTTTTTTAATGAACTGCTGGTAAAACTTATATGAATATTGGGGGCCAGGGAATCCTTCCCATAATAAACCTTTTAAAAGAAAGCTTTTATCCTTAACAGTAACAATAGCCATGGTTTGACATAATAGCAACAGTTACTAAAATAATTTCATGGGCATTGTTATGCTTTGCAAAAGCAACTCCATTTTCCATGGAATGAGTATTTATCTGATTTCTTGCACTTAAAAATTTTAGTCACATCACAGATGATTTTAATCCAGTTAATAATGGTGGAAACATCAGAAATCAAATAGGGAAATGAGACTTTTGTTTTCCTGAAGACAGACCTATTGTGAATACAGTGAATTTGCTCATTTTATTTTCTCCAGGTCAAAGAGCACATGCTGGGACCACATGCACTCCAGCTAGGCACATTCACAAGTCTATAAATTCAGAAGGTTCTGTGATAGCACCCAAATTATAACAGTAGCAAAAACCTTTTGTCTTTCATCTCCATTCATTTTCAAGACAAAAGTTAAAATCAAAGTAAGACTATGTGTTAAAACAGTTTATTGTCCTCCAGAGGGACTTGAGACCAGAAGTTACACACATAAGCTTTGTTCTAGACCAGCACTGCCTAGAAGAAATAGTATGTGAACCACACAGATAATTTTTAATATTCTAGTTGCCCCATTAAAAAAGTAATAAAAAAGTGAAATTAATTTTAATATACTTTATCCAAAAATATCCAAATCGTTATCATTTCAACTTGTAATCAATATAAAACATGGATGAGAAATTTTGAATTTTTTTTATACTGGGTCTTAAAAATCCAGCATTTGATTTGCACTCACAGAACATCACAATGTGGACCCACCACGTTTCAGGGACTCACAGCCCCCAGTGGCTCCCACACTGGATAGTAGGGCTTCAGACGGCTACTGAAATAGGGATCCTGTCCTTTCTGGTCCCCTGTGGAGCCTCCACTTCCTCAGCTGAAAAATGACGTCTCTGACCCCAGGATTCCTCCAACCTTAAAGATCTGTGATTTTTGTAATGCATACACCACATCTTCCAAATGGTCTGGTAGAGCTCTGACCAGGGAAAGGCAAATGAAGTAGATCAGCTCCACAGCTAAGGTGGACCGAGTGTCAATCCTATGCAAAGCCATGTGCTGACCATTAGCCAGCTCTGAGGAGAGATGAGACACGGGTCCTGCCACCCAGGGCCTTGAGACCAAACAATCTTCATGGCCACTGAGGTCTGTTACCTTCAGTGAGGTCTGTTACCTTCAGTGAAAATTAAGAGACTTAGGAAAAATAAATGCAGAGGAGCCAGACTTTAGAATCGTCTGGTAAGTGGCCAGTGAACCCAGATCCCAGCAGCACCATCCATGAGGCCTCCTGCATGGAGACGGGTGGGCCAGCATGCTGTCTGCTACATCCTCAGTAGGTGACCCTTAGCCGTCCGAAGACTCCTGGGGACTGGGAACTCTACACCTCATGCCATCATTGCTGGTCAGGTCGTTGACATGCTCTGAGGCTGCCCACAAGTGGAGTTCACTCACTGGCATTAACTGTTCCCCTGGAGCAGCAGTGAACAGAACCACTTCTTCACGGGATTTCATCTTCCAGTGTCTGAAGGGCATTCATAGGCTCTGTGGGACCTCACGCTGCCCATTCCTGCCACCTGCTCCCGGACATACTTCCCAGGCCCTCTGCCACAAGCCGTGGACACACACAGACACTCCCAAAATGGGGAAGGGAGGAAGAGTGCAATTGACATTGCTGGCATGTGGTCATAAAGAAAAAGCAGACAAGCTGTACTCGGTTTTATTACTCTTGGTGGATCCCTTACAGACGGCGCGCCTGTCCCTTGCCTGCAGCTGGACAGCTTCTCCCCTTCCCTTGCTCCTCTCACAGCTGATGTTTTAGGGAAAAGCTCCTGGAATACTTCGTGCTTCTTTCTTGTTCTTCTTTATTTCCCACATTCATCAAGAACATTTTGTTAACAAGTAGAACACTGGCACTATTTCAGTGGGCAACAAGGAATACTTAGCACTTAAAAAACAGCATATGGCTCCTGACTTTCCCTCAGAGGAATCCCCTCACAGTTGGCCTGGGCTTGGCTGGAGAGTGGACAGCACAGGGCGGAGGGGCCTTGTGCCCGTGACTCACTTGACAGGTGCTGTGTGATGAGAAATGGGACGAGTTCAGGGAAGTTAAGTTTTCTGCCATTATGAAATAGGGTGTTAGGATCACCACAATCAGGGGCTTTTTTTATACATGAAAGAATCTTTATTACCGGTTACCTCGCATAGATGGAGTGTGGCATTAGTTCACTCAAAACAATGTCCTTTTAGTTTTACTCTGTTCCAAAGACACAGGTCTCACCCCTAGTCCCTGGCCAACCCTTCATGAGGATAAGGTGTTGGCCTATGGGAGAGCTGATGGCCTTGTGGCTGGGCAGGGGTGACACATGGGGCAGTGGGGATGTTGGGGACTGTCTCCTTACAACCCTCGGCTGTTACTGTGAGGAAATGCAGGTTCCAAATTGCCCAGATTTGTATTTTCAGAGAATATCCAAAATGCAAACTTTACCTAAAATACTCTGATTTCTTAAAAGTTTACAACTAGTTCTTTAAAAAAAGTTTTGCAGGAGACCGGCAGACCTCCTGCAGGATAGGCAGGCAGATCCTGTGAGCTGCCGATTGCTCTCTCCGGGATGGCTGGACCACTCAGGCCTATCCCCACCATTGGACAGCACCTCATAGTACAAAGATGGGTCAGGACATCTTAGATATTCAGTAGAGTCTCTGTCACAGGTACCTCCTGCCTCGGTTCAGAGTTTCTCAGGGGTGATCTGTATGTGACCCACATCAGACAGCTGGATGGCAATATCTAAGGGCAGAGTCTTTGAAAATCACTAGTTCACCTTGACATCAGCTTAAGCAGAAAGAACATGGTAGTTTTAGATGAAGGCTGTAAAAGATCTTCCTTGTTTGGAGTGGTGGAGAATGATGTCACTCAGTTTTCTTGCAATGACAAGTATCAGTCCTGGACATTTTCCTATATTGAAGGCTCTTATTACTAATATTAGCTCTATAGCCAAAATATCTGCATGTGGCTCATTTCACCTTTTGACTTGCAGGAAGAGCCTGCTACCAGGCCAGCCGCCCTTCAGGAGAAAAGTGGCAGTGTGACTGGGTTTAGGCCTGGCCACCCTTCAGCTTTCTGTAAAGAGGGACAACTTGTGTTCTAAATTCCTTTTTTTTCCTTTTTACTCGTTGGAATATGCATGGCTCAAATGCCAGAGATATAAATAGTAATAAGTTACCAAAATAAAGATACTGTAGACGAGGTAAACCAGAAGCAGTAAGTGAAGGCATTCTGACCGGATGAGAGGAGAGTTGTACATTTGCTTCATGAAATTAAAAGCGAGAGGGTCTGTAGTGCATACTTTTAAATCCTGTAGGATTAAGAAGTTGGTGTGAAAACAGAAACCAGGAAAAACTAGTTTTCAATTTAGCAAGGTAATGCGTATAAATCCAACGAGGAGTTCTTTTTATTATGTGCTGAATCTAAAGCAAATGCAAACACATAAATCCAGTCAAAAGACAATTTCAATTCTAAACCCTTTTAAAGAATTCACTGTATAAGAAAGAAAAGCTTAGGAGGTATTTAGGCTTTGTCATTTAATGCTGATTCATGGATAAGACTAACTTAATCCTACTAATAGATGTATGAGGCTCTCCGAGGCCACTGATGCCTAAAAACATAGCTAAAATCCGGCACTGTTCCCTAGCGGCAGCCTGTGCCGACCTGCAGAGGGGAGGGAATGAGTCAGCTACTCAGGCTTTGCCCAGTTTTCCTGCCTGTGCACAGAGTGGAGAGGAACTCTTATGTGACTTTGTATTATTTACGCCTAGATCTGGAGGGGCTGTGGCCTGTGTCTGGGCGGAGCAGAGGGGGACCAGTATTTTCTTGATAGCTCCATATTCGGAGCTGTCCCATTAAGGTGCACGGCTGAACGGGGTATGGTGGCGAATGTTAGCTTAGGACCAGCACCATGGGAGGTGCTAGACTAAAAAACTTCCTTTTCTTTGACTTGGCTCTACTTGTCAAGCACTGTGAGGGGTTTGGACTTCCCCTCCTTGCAAGCTGACAAGTTAGCTTGCACGGTTTCATAGATGCCAAAGACTTGGGACCCTGGGTCAGAGACAGACTTGGTTGCTCCTGGCACACGGGCAGCTTGGGAGCCATGTTCACATAGTTCCCTTTTCCCAAGTCCCACGGGAGCGGTGCAGAACGGCCACGTGATGCAGTGCCCACGGCCGTCCGTGTCACAGCTGAGGAGCCCCCAGTGTCCCAAGGAGGCTGCTGGTGCCCCTGCCCAGCTTTTGCTCCGGAGAACGATGCTCTCTCATTTATTGTGCTCAGGCCAGACGGAAGCACCGTCTCTGTCCAACAAGCCCCTTTCACAGACGTCCTCTTCCCGAGACACGCCCAGAGAGAACTGTCTCCAGCACCAGCAGAGTGGCTTCTCCGCACGGCTGAGCTCCTTCTGATTCTCCACAGCATGACGGCTGTGGCCACTGCTCACAGTCCCGTGTTGTGCTGGTCCTCAAGGGGGAGACGGCATCTTGCTCCCATCACAGCCCCAAGTCTTACACAGTACCTGGCATTTAAGAAGGCACTGAATAAGCTTTTGCTGAACACATTAATGAAAATTAAAAATTAAGTGATATATGCACATGGGAGAAAAACCATTCAAACACACATCTAATGACAGGTATTTCCCACTGCAGACCTCCAGCGCCCTCCCTGGAGACAGCCTCTCCCTTATCCCCCCGATGAGGCATGCACACACAGGACACACACTCACCCCGCTCCTC